CATATTGAAATGTGACTTAATTCCCTCCAATTGTGAGATCCCCCATGCTACCTCCAGCCTCTGACAGGATTACATTAAGTAATGATCAAAGAACAAGAAACCTGTCACTCAAGCAGTCTGCAGTGACAGACTTCTCTAAAGATAAATGCTTCTACAAGGCTCCAGGACAATTTTTACATGATGCAAATATTAAGATACTGCCCGTAAAATGCAATATTATAATAAATCTTTTAAACCTCATGATCCTCTTACAGGAGTTTAAAAAAAAAACCCTGCATCTCTAAGAAAATGGATTACTAGTAAAGTTTGGTATCAATTTCTTTATTCTGCTCTACAATGAACTAACAAGTTAAAAAATTCAGTATGTTGTCACAACTCTACAGAAATAGGCATTACATCATATGTACACTATTTTTAGAGATACAAATAATCTCCATTTTAAAAAATATCACTGAGAGAACTGTCAAAAATATATGTGGGTAATAAATATGCAGAATAACAGAATGGTTTGGGTTGGAAGAGACCTTAAAGATCATCTCACTCCAACCCCACTGCCCTGGGCAGGGACACCTTCCACTATCCCAGGTTGCTCCTGGGAGCCCTGTCCAACCTGGTCTTGGACACTCCCAGGGATGGGGAATCCACAACCTCAGATTACTGACCACAGCCATTAATTAGAAAAAAAGATTTGAGTTTACAGGTTTGAGAGTCACACAGAAATTTGTATCAAATTCTTAAACCCCGTTCAGTTTTGAACACTGCATGAATTATAAATGCAAAACTTACTATCTCAGGTTTTATTTTGTACTTGTGAAGATAAATCCTTGAACCATTTACTTTTCTATTACTTGATCCAAGATCAAAACAGCAATTTAATTTTTATAAAGCACCAGAGAACCACCATTAAACTATTTTCTTTAAAGCTCTGTCATAAAAAAGTCATCTGCTGTTAATCTGGCTGCAGTTTTTTAAGCACCTGCTGCATGGGCACAGAAGTTTGGGACATAGTTTAACAGAGATGATCACAATTACTTTCTTCTTTTGTAATTAAAAACCACGGTTGCATTATTGATTGGGTTGAGAACTAGACTAAGAATAGAAATGACTCAGTATTTATCTCTGCTGTGATGACCCCAGCTCCTGGATGCTTATCACCACAAAGAAATGCAATCAAGCTAACAGATCAGATCTGAAGCAAGAGCAGGCAGAATTAACACCAGTGGCACATTTCTGTTCATTTGGAGCAAGAGCTTTTGCCAAATGTGTCCAGCCCCACCTTCCCTCCCCCACTCAGGACACCACTGCAGGGCTGATGTGTGAGATGCACAGTTATAAGTGACAAAAATGAAGAAGGTCAGAAATGCCCAGGGATGAAGAGATGGGATGAATTTATGGGGATGCTCAGACCTGCCCCGGGCACACAGAGCTCGGGGCTGTCACCCCCCCAGACACAGCCCCCTCCTCAGCAGCACTGCTGCTTGGGATCCTGAAAGAGGATTTGCCAAACACACATTTATCCTCAGATCTGCCTGGTTTGCTGTGCTGCAGAAGGGAAAAAATCCCAGCACCAGCAGAACCTCAACACAGCCACGGAGCAGCCTGGAGGGGCAGGAGAGCCCAGGCACCAGGAGAGCAGGGCTGGCACTGCCCACACTGGCACTGCACAGACAGTCACATCACTGGGGAGACAGAAACAGAAATACAGACCTGCTCGGTTTGAGGGAGCAGAGAGAGCACTGCCAGCATGTGTTCACTGTGTTTTACTTGGAAGAAAAAAAAAACAACAATCCAACAACAAAATCCCAACAAACTTCAAAAACTTACTCTGCAGACAACCAGTGCTCTTGTGAGACAACACAGCTATGAACCACAAAAATTTAGAAAAGGCATCTAAATGGCAACTCCTTCACCAAAGAAGTCAATCAGATTATCCCTTTTTACCTTTTTAACATTAGTCCAATCAGCTGAGGGGAGAGAAATTTAAGATACGAAGATATACACTTAAACTAAGCCCTAGAACTCTCTTAATTAAGAAGCATAAAAGGAAAGAGCTTCAAGGATGGTAACAATAATTTAAAATATTATTTAAAGTATCTGCATAGAAGTTTTGGGTTCATGGCCAATCAGGTCTTTCTACAGAACAAGTTCCAGCACTAACAAGCAGGGAGCTCCATGTGAGGAGTAGGTGTAAGTTCATGTCACAACCCAACAGGGGATGTTTTATAAAACATAGATTAACCTTAATCATAAATATAATCACAGTATATTTAATGTGCAGAGATTTACATTCTAAGGAGTTAATGCAGATTGCATGGATAATTCTCCTTAAAAGCAAACACAAGAAATCTTCTATTTAAGGAAATATTCCGAGTTGAGTCAAAGCAATACTGAATTTCAGTACCTATAGGATCTGAGTTTTCTTCAGAAAGCAGAAAACTACTTGTGTGTGAGAGATTAGGCATTTAAGTAAAAACTTAAATGGTGCCATGCTGAGTACTCCAACATCAACCATGGGAGCCCAGCTGGAGTCCCTGCAGAGGCTGGAAAGCTGTGAGCCCTCCCTGAGCACACAGGGCTCACAAAAGGTCCATCAGGACACATTCAACATCTGTCACAGAGCACTCAGCAACAGGCTGGACAGGGAAATACAACTCTGTGCTCATTCATTAGCATTATGTCAGAGGAAATCTGCTGCAGAGTTTGTAAACAGTTTTCCCACTCTGGCAGAAATGTTTTTGCAAGTTCCTGTCAAATGGAAGTTTCACTCAAAAACCCTCTTCCTTATCCTGCTTCCCTGCCTATGGGAGGGGGTTGGAACTACATGATCTTTAAGGTCCCTTCCAATTCAAACCATGCTAAGATTCTGCCATTCTCTCATGGGCTACATCAAGCATTACACTATAAAACCTGTTTGTCAAGGCCTCTGGGAACCAACAGCCATGTATGAGCAGGCTTATCCAGGTAGGAGTTAAACCCAGGCACAGAACTAACCCATACCTCAGAAAAATCTTACCACTTATAGAAAACTATAGGCACCCAATTTTTATTTACTTGTCACACAGGCAGCTTGGTTATCACATTTTTTTTCTGAGTCATCTGTTGAGTTACAAATTACTTTTTGCTACCCTGAGTACTGTGAGTATGACACTTTCCAATTAGGAGCTTACAGTCTAAAAAGCAAGAACTGGTATTTCAATTCAGGCTGCTAAAAACCCAACAGCTTGCAGATTTGCTAGCAGAGAGGTGGTTGTTTACTCCTTGCCACTTAGCACTCACTCATCCAGGAAAACACTTAGCAGCATTAACAGGACTCTTCTTATATATTCCTAATTAACTGACATTAAAACAGATTTAGGAATGTGTTGTTTGATTTCCATCAAATGATGATATATATATATATATATATATACACACACACATTCATAGATCTGAAGAAGCCACCAGGTTTGCAACAAGTGTAGGTGCAGGCCCACGGATGCTCCACATCATTGATAACAAGGAAATAATTCAACATGAAGAAAAGTAAATCCACAAGAAGAAAAATCCTAATGAGGACATCATTTGTTGACTCATCACAGTCCCTTGAATGTACCACACCAAGTCCTTGCAGCAATAACTGATAACCTCTGAAATCATTCACAAAGCTGTGTGACTTGGTCTTTCTCAGACCAAAGATGCCAAGACCCTTGCCACGCACCCCTCCGGGCAAGCACCACAGGTGGCATCAGCTGTTCCTGGGATTCTCCTCCTCTTAGCACTGAAATCTGAGAGTTATTATCTGTGTGCTTATTGACTGTCACAAAACCAAAGACACAGAGATAGATTCTGTCATACACAGACCGGAATTTAATTCCTAATAAAGCCTTATGCTGGTCTGCCCAGGGCGTCAGGGTCCAACATCTCATTTCTCCAATAACTAATTCAATGGCTTACTAATGATAAAATCCAACACATGTGACAGTTCTAGAAATGAGATGGCAGAGGGTGTTAAACTTCAAGCAGCATATTCTCTTCCTGTCACAGACATATTATTGCTGTGCAAGACCTAAAATCACCACCTGCAACCCAACCACTACCAACATACAGGAAAACCAGCAGTTTATATAAGTTATAAATTCATATCTGAAGCACATATCAGATATTTTGAAGTGTATCAACTGAGAGAGGCTTTGTATCTTTTGGGGAGATGAAAAGGAAGATGGGGAAAAAGGGGAGAAATTGAAATTGACCACTCAATGTTGGTACTTCAACATTAGTACTGGTTTTCACCTTTGATTTTCAAAGCAAATCAATGTATCCAGAACAATTATTTTCAATTAAATAATTTGTCTAGATCAGATATATATTCTGCCACCAAGCAGGAAGTTTGCATGTGAAGAATAATGGTAAAGAGAAAAACCTTCACATAAGCATTGTGGTCATGAAACCACAGCAGTACAAGCATTCAACACAGTGCAGTTTATAGTCTGAGCTGTTATTTAAGACCAGCAAATGAGCTGCTGTTACTCTTTTTGATGCTTGAACTACCACTATTCTACTTTCAAGCAAGTAAACACGACCAAGTACGACAGTGTTAATGCTGTATTGAACTGCATCTGTGATTAACTCAGTTCTAAATCACAGTTCAAATTTACTAAGGAAAGAAAAGAAACCTACATCCTACATCCAACAATTCCTACATCTTACCAAAAGAACTCCACGTAAAACCAAAAAAACCAAGAATGACCATTTCTCTGCCCAGTGAGCATGTTAAGCTTTATTTATAGTGCTCGACCAAAGATCCCTAAACCAAAATAACCCAGTGTATTTTCTAACTAGTGCCTGAACTTCACCTCCACCTACGGTGTTGAAATCCAAACTACTCTACTGCTCCCCAGCAAAGAGCGGTCTCAGAAAAGACAAGCATGGACTGCTCCACTTCACCAGTTGTGCCAGTAAAAGAAGATGCCAGCAGTCAGGCAGAGCACATGATGCCAAGGAGCTGGGCAGAGCAGACTCACCGACACGTAGCTGCTGGTGTCCACGTTATCTGTGATGGTCTGGCGCTCGCCCCGCTGGTTGATCTTCCTGTACCTCCGGCGGGACTGCCGGAGAGGGACCTCTCTTTGCAAGATGTTTTCCTCATTGTCTTTGGAGTTCTCCACCTGAAAGACACGTTCGGGTTCCTGGTTAAACATCCAGTTCTTCCATAGCACCGAGAGCTGGTGGAGCCGTAGGAAGCTCATGGGGAAGGAGCAAACATAAGTTCAGGGCAGTTAAACCCTTCTGGGGAAAACGGCCGCGGGCGTTTCGGAGAACCTCGGCTGCGGGTCTCAGAACTGCTCATTACAATGAGCCGGAGGCCACAGTTTCCTTCCAGGAAACAGTGCTTTAAAAAAAAAAAAAAAAAAAAGTAAAAAAGGCCCACGTATCCTCTAAAAAATGTCACTCATCAGTAGAAACCCGTCTGCACCCACATGTATCACACAACACAAGTTACACACACTGCTCATTTCAAGCGTATCTTCAACACAGAACTCACCATTTCTTTGTGCATTTGCAACTGGCAAAGAGACTGAATTACATCCCATTTTTATTAGTGTAATTTTTAAAAGCATAACTTATTTCTAGTAACAGTCACGGCTAAACAACTTTAAATATTCCAGCTTTTTATAAATAGCTGCTTCACCTATGTCATACTGCTTTCTAATCGCTTCCAGCAGATTATGAAGAAATAACTGGAACTTGGTCCATATCTTAATGTTAAATATTATTTGTGACTAAACATTAAAAATTAGGTAAATGTATCTTGTTAGCAAAAGCCAACATGAAACCTTTTATCTCACTAGTTACAATTTTTTTTTTCTATAAAAAGCAGTCTCATCCTTTCCCATTTCCTTTTGATGTTTTGGAAAAATATCTCCCAGCAGGAAGCAGAGCAGACATGCATGCAAATAGCTGCAGTGGGCAAGAAGCCTCTCTACAGTGTATTTACTATATTGAGGTTTTTACTGTCCTCAATAGCTTATTTTTATTTTTTTCTGTCTCCAATTTTCACTTGAAAATCCTAAACATTAAGACTTTACTACTGGAACAGGAGAAGAACCTCTGTGTGATCTTACATAGCCCTCACTTCACATACTTGGGTAAATTATCTCAAAATTAAAATTCAAAAGGTATAAAGGAAAGAAACCCAGACAGACTTAACAGACAGGAACAGGAAAGCAACCAAACTACCTAAACCATCACAAAAGCAAGATCACATCTACTTTCTACATAATTTTTTCCAAACAGTTAAGTCTGTCTGAGGTCAGAGGAAGGTGCAAGCAGCTGGGTTTGTCTTGTAGGTTATTTTTGATTCCATAGAGAAAAAGAGGCATTAACAACACAGGTTAAAGATATAACAGTTAGAAGAGTGAAGCTCACACCACAGTACTGTAGAAAAAAGAAATCAGAAAAGCCAAGTTCCCCCCGCAAGAGACAACCACACTTTTCACCAGAAAAGGTGAAACACAGGCCAGTGACCAAAGCTGTCCAGCTGCAGCACTGCTGTAAGCAAGATGGTACAAGGGAGTAAAAATACAAGGCAGGCAGGCAGAAACACAAAAAGAAATAAAAACCCCTTTTGATCAGGCCATTTAGTATCATCAAAAAATGTAGTGAGATGCTCTGTACAGAAGCCTTTCTTCACCCAGCATGAAATACAGATTTCTAGTTAGCAGCAATGGTACTCTCAAATTATACAGAAGGCTTCCCGAGGTCAGGAAGTTTGGTTTGGTACTCATCAAATAACCAAAATTGTGCTTGTTTAATTTTTAATGCATTATCCTTTTTTCTCTGCATTCAGTCTTACAAGATCAGAGAAACTAAAACGAGCAGTGAGCTTCTCCAACAGAAGAGACTAACCTGGACCTGAGACTGCTGAGGAGGCTGGACAAACTCTTCCAAAACTGATGACTCTCATTATTAGGAAGCCCCAAACTAACAGGTATTTCTAAGACTGAAGTAAAACAAACACTCAGTGAAAGGGGAAATTCTTTTTCTTCCACAGTTCTAACTGAAAACTAAGAAGTGAGCATAAATGAATTATTTGTTAGCACCAAGGCAAAACAAACAAGTGCTGAAAATTGAGAAACTGAGACCACCTGCTTCCTTCAGTTAGTGCACTGCTGTTGACAAAAACAACATGAAAATCAGACACCAGGAAAGATCTCCACACCACAGAGCTCCCAGGTGAGGACCACCAGCACCAACAGTATTTTCAGTCCAGCTGACCATCAGGTTGGGTGCCCTCACTCAGACCTGATTTCAACTGGTTAAAACTAAAAATTTCTGTTAGCAGAGAGGTGTCATCCTCCTCACTCACCCCCCAGCTGGATGAACACTCCTACAGAGGAATTTGGGGAGAACTGGCCCAGGAGGACCCGGCTGCAACCAGGCTTCCAGGTCCGATGGAAACACTGCCCTGCAGACTGCTTCTCATTATTTCAGTTCCAATACAGAATCATGGAATTGTTAAGGTTGGAAAAGGCCTCTAAGATCATCAAGTTCAACCATTAACCCAGCATTGCCAAGCCCACCACTAAACCATGGCCCCAAGTGCCACGTCTACACACCTGTTAAATCCCTCCAGGAATGGTGACTCCACCTGGGCAGCTGTGCCAGGGCTTGACAACCTTTCCCATGAAAAAATTTTCCCAATATCCAACCTGACCCTCCCCTGGCACAGCTGGAGGCTGTTCCCTCTCCTCCTGTCCCTTGTTCCCTGGGAGCAGAGCCCGACTCCCCCCCCAGGTCCCCCCTCCTGCCAGGGAGTTGCAGAGCCAGAAGGTCCCCCCTGAGCCTCCTTTTCGGGAGGATGCTCCCATATCCCCAGGTTCACCCATGGCACTGGCTGCCACATGGAAAAATTGAGGACTGCCCCCAGTTTCACTCTGCAGCCCAAGCCAGCAGTGAAACATTTTCCACCTCTAAGCCCCACACTGCTCCTCTGGAATCTTACGCTCAGATCTGAAGGAAGTGAAAGCACCAAGGAACAGAAAGGACACTTCAGTACACCAAGATATGCTGCAATTCCAGGCCATTTTCTTAAGTGATAAATGGGCCTATTATTAATTCAATAGATTGCTCAGCCTCCAAAAATATGAGTTAAAATGCCCATTCACACACTATCTGTTATCCTCATTAACTTAAGTTGACCACATTTTATGGCCTTTAAAATGGGTCAGTTCCCAGAGGACTCCCACTACAAAACTGATTTACATTCTAAAGTAAGAGCAGAGAGGAAAAAAAATTTTTAAAAAAATCAGTCACCAGCAGGGAATGATTGTGTTCTTTAACTCCATTAACGGAGCCAACTAATTATTTTGCTTGAAGATAAATATTCATTACGTATTAAACCTCATTATTATGTTGCAAATTAAAAACGAGAGAAAATAAAAGAATTAAGATAAATTAATACGAATTAATCAGGGAAAAGAAACTCAAGTACACCTTGTGTCAGTGCAGATCATTAGCAAGGTGCACATCACCACACTGGTGCTTTTTTCTCACCCTGTTTGAAGTACTACCCAGAAAATACAGTTAACAGCACCTTTGGCTACATTTACCTATAAAACATGAACATAAAAATAATGAAGAAATAACTCTGTACTTTTAATTCTCTGATCTTCCCACAGGAAAAATATACTGAAGTTCCAGAGAAGAATGTAAGATACTTTTAAGCATCTCTATACTATCATTGACATTTAACTACAATTACAGATAATTCAAGAGATTTAAAATACAGTGAACAACTGTCTGGGCTGCACATTTGTCTCCAGGAACACCCAGCAGCTTTTGAATTTGCTGACATGGCCAATGCTGGCTTCTCCAGCTACTGTGACACTGTGTTCCTCTGAAAACACTCAGCACAGTTGTAGCTACTCAAGTTACACACACAACACTAGTTCCTCCATAAAATATTTTAATAAGCCCAGTTTCTAGTAGCACACACTTGCACAGAAGCATCTTCCTGTATTTATTTTTATTTTACAATAATGGTGATGTGACCAAAGAAGGATGTAGGTATTTCTTTAGAATTTCATATTATATTTTGCCTATGAAATATTTCACGTAAACTTGCAAATGCACTTGCAGTGAGTCAGTCACCAGCCACCCTCCACTAGCCCAGGTGGCTCCAAGCCCTGTCCAACCTGGCCTTGGACACTTCCAGGGATGGGGCAGCCACAGCTTCTCCAGGAAATCATTCCAGGGCCTCCCCACCCTCACTGTAAAGAATATCTTTGTAATATCTAATAATAAATATGACTGGGTGAGTGTTTGTCATTCTGTGCTACAAGGTGCCAGGAGTGTTGAGGTGAAAGCTCAGCTCACCCCAGACACTGCACTGAGCACCCCAAATCCCAGGGAACACTCAGCACCTCAGACCCTGGACAGCAGCAATTTAAACAGTAACAATGCACAGCAAACTAGAGTGCCTGGGGCATTCCCATGACATGGCTGCACACATTGTGCCATCCCTCAAGGCACAAATCCCCCCCAGAACTCCAGCTTTGAGAAGAGACTGGGTAATTGGGGATAAAATAAATGAACTGTTTCACTCCAGAGGATAGAGACAGGCTTCTTGCACTCTTAACCTGCACTTCATGGCAGACTGCAGCTTAAAGTGTGTGCTGCAGCAAAGAGCATATTACTGATGGTATCAGAGCCCACGAGCAGAGTCAGACTGACACTGCACAAAGGACAGTAAGTGTACTTGGTACAGGACACCACTGACATCCCCACTAGACTGAACTGTGAGACACAAACTTTTTACAGAAGCTGAATACTCACACACTCAGTGAGTAAAAGACACTGTCAAATATTAGTTTTAATGTTACCATATCTAGATCTAAGGCAGCCGAATCAATAGCAGTCTGGAGATCTGAGACTGATTAACAGACACGTGGCTTCTCAGCACAACAAACAGTTTTGTTCCAGCTCCATTAACAACATCCAAGATGAAAGTTAAAAGAGATCTCCCCGTGTCCCCAGGCACAGGACTGGGGCACAATGTCAGGCTGCACTATGGAAAAGCAATCCTAATATTCCAGCTGCTGACAGCATGTGCACATCAACCTGGAAAGGACTGAGCTACTCTCTATAAGCAACACTCTGTGTTATCATCTATATGTGCACTTGGCTGTATCATAAGTTTTGTGAAGAAGCAGAAGGAACCCTGGGCATTAAGGTTGGTGACAACTAAGCTGAAAACCTTTATCCTTCAAGCTTGGCTAAGCACACTCATGTTTCTTCTCCTGCCTACGAGCCTTCACACTGTGTGGCACTGCAAAGGCTTGGAGGAAGGAGGCTTTTCCTCCCAGACATGGCCACTAAAAGCAATGAAATGGGAGATGGGGGTGTAAATAAAATATTCAGGATAGAAGGCTGTCATTGCCTGACTCAGGAATGCTCAACTCAGCCGTGACTGTTAGGCTTTTGAAACTCAAGTAAGCATAATTTTAGAAAGAATGACCTAATCATCATCATCATTTACCCATCTAGATTAAATTTACATAGCTACTGCTGTTACGAGAGCAGCCATAGGTATAATTGAAATCAAGGCAGTTTTGCTGCAATTTTATAGAATACTTTACAATAAGCTTTCTGCTGTAAAAGAGAAAGAATTTGCTGAAACCAGCAATAGATTTAAATACATATGAGAAAAAAAAAATCTGTCTTACCACAATCATTTCTGAAGGCTCCAATATGATACATTCGCATCCTCGCTTTCCTCCAGACTGCTTGCCAAAACTAGAGTGGGATGGGGAAAAAGCAAACGAAGAAGAATGAGATGAACAGCCTATTTTACCTTTTCAGTAACCAAAATAATTGGCAATGGTGCACGTTGTTAAAAAAAAAAGGGGACAAAAAAAATTGATGAAAACTATTGTGTGAAAAATTCCAACCAGATAGTATCATCAACATAATTTTTTAATTTATTCAGCACTGCTCATCATGGTCTGCTATGTAATGCCTAAATATAAAGAATGTTCTTTTGTAAAATCCATTATTACTTGCAGATACTCAAAATCACTTATAACACATTTCAGTTCTGACAAGAAAACACTAGTAAATTTTAATTAAACATTAAATAGGCTTTGTAAAAACAAATATACGCAAATTCCAAGGACTCCAAAATACTACTTTGCACGTACTTTTAAGGAGAGTTCCTTCAACTCCATGTCACCTCTTCATCCTCCCAGGAAAGGAAAGGACAGAGAATCTCTTCTCGAACATTGGGCCTTAACTTGTGACCTCTGCCTTTGTGTTGGTTATTGTGCCATCACAAGGTGATGGAATCACCGTGATGGGCTCTCTTTTAAGAAGTGTGAAAAACCACAAATGCGACCAAGTGTGATGGGCAGTGTAATACAGCACCTAAGGAGAGCAGCTAAAGGCAACCTGATGTGCTTCAGCTCATCAGCTTTAATAGACACCTTCCTTCAGGACACCCACCACCAGAGGTGGCTTTAGGGAATCACCTCTGGAGAAGGCACCATGCCAGCAGAGCTGAGCTGGACACTGCTGGGGGACACAGGGTGTGTCACAGACCAGAGACCTCTGAACTCACTCCACCTGTGCCTGCAGTGGCACCTGCCATTGAGAGCACTTGGCTGCACATATTGAGTTTGTCCTCACTCCAGGCCCACTGGCCTGAGGTGGGTTTGCTCGACCCACCCGCTCCCTGAGCCCACAGGAAAGCGATGCCAGGCCCGTGTCCCATGGAACAAGCCCCGTGATGAGCAGGGGGGTGGCTGGACTGAGCCCTGCTTTAGCAGTTCAGCAGTTGTAGCTGCTGTTACAAACTCGGGCTGTCAACATCAATCACGTTTTAACACCTACCAGCAGGTGAGACAACCGAAGAATCAGTTAACGCAAAGCAGGGATTAACGTGTGAATTAGAAGGGAGTTCAGACAAGTGTGGAGACATATCCTTAAAAAGTGGGTCGGCTCCATCTGCTTTCAGTGAGGTTATGTTTGGAAAGTACATCTGAAACTCCAGTCACACAAGATTTGAGCCATGGTCACTTTGATGGCAAAGATCTGTGAAACACCACCTTGGACAAAACATTTAAAAGACTCGTGCTTATAAACTGCGTGTCAGGGGAGCACTCCCAAACTTCTGCAGGATACGTGCTCTTACAGGGAAAGAACTAAACTAGACTAAACTAAAGCTGAAGGAGGGAATGTTTAGATATTAGGAAGATATTCTCTACAACGAGGGTGGGGAGGCCCTGGCACAGGTTGCCCAGAGAAGCTGTGGCTGCCCCTGGATCCCTGGAAGTGTCCAAGGCCGGGTTGGATGGGGCTTGGAGCAACCTGGAATGGTGGAAGGTGTCCCTGCCCATGGCAGGGGGTGGAACTGGATGGTCTTTAAGGTCCCTTCCAAGCCAAACCATTCTGTGATTCTATGAAACTGTGAAGTTACCCAAGTTACATCAGAATATTCCAACAAATGATCAGTGTAATCCCATTATTATAAAGAATTACGATTAACAAGGGAACAGCAGCTTCCATTGTCGAGTTTTGATTTTGCTAATGGTCTACTGAAGGAAAAAAAAAATATTTAAATTACATGATTGCCATGGAGTGATAAACGACAACGAAAATTTTCTCACCCAGACCAGAGAAGCACAGGTTTCACACAGAAAACTGGCATTTTCACACATCTATACTAAGAAACTCAGAGTTAAAATTTTCATGCCTTCTTTCATGCTTTTTCCACACAGCATGTGATCCAGGCATGACAGTCTTGTGTATTTGCAATACATAAAAAGAATGGTTGAACTACTGTCATTATTATAAAAAAGTTAATTCAGTTCAGAAAATACAGAAATGTCATTTTTAATGTCAGCTCCAACTTCAAGGTGAACCGAAATTCCATGTTAGGATTTCTTCACAAACGGAAAAGCAAAGTGAGACCAACTTTGCTATGGGATCATTTTCAGTTGCAAAAAAAAAAAAAAAAAAAAAGGAAAAAAAGTTACAAACATTTGCAATTCTATTCCTTACAAAAGAAAGCTAAATACAAGAGATTTTTTTCCCCCCAAAACCAAAATTCTAAAGGAATTGCGTGCAACTGGAAGTTTCAATTTTTGCAGCTTTTTAAAAACAGAAATAATCATCATCAGTTTTATCACAAAACAGATTATTGCTACTATTGCTATGTCTCCTGTAGTTAGGAAAAGGCTCCAATTTCCTGCTGCAGGTTGTTCAAGCACAGTGTTTTTGTCGTGTAACAACAGTTTATCAAACTCCTCGAGGTTGAGGAAGGGTTGTTTTCCTTTTTGTTTTGCTTTACATAAACACATTCCTGAAATTCAGCAACTGTCCAGCTCCCCTCTGCTCTCGTTGCAGCATTTGCTAATTAAGTAATGGCAGTAAACACTAAGGAGGAAGAGAAGAGTGCTGGGAACAAAGGTCACACTCTTGGCACCATCATTTCTGCTCCATCAGGCACTTTACAACAACCAAACACTCGGAAAAGGATTAAGTTCCAAAGACAAAACCCACCCTGCTAATCCTAAACTACTCACATTAACAAGTCAATAGGTCAAGTTTAATTATTTCCTGGAGCACAGCATGGATGGTTTATCGATTATTCCTCAGCAGAGATGCTTCCAAAGGAGGAGGCAGCATATGGTTTCTCCCCAGCTATAACCACCACTATGTCTCAAAAATACCCATTTTTAACATTCTTAATTAACATATGCAACGTGTTTTAGAAACATAGATTTTAACGTTCTTAATGACTTATTCCATATTTTTCTCTGGAATACAAATGTTTAGCTTCTCTACTAGTTAAGAGGTTTGCTGACATCAATAGACTTCACTAATCTGCCAGTTATAATCCAGGCCTCAGAAAAATGTTCATTCCCAATTAATTGGAAATGGAAAGGATTCAGTTGAACAAAGCTTTGCAAGGGGAGGAGATAAAACCCATTTGGGAAAGAAGAGTAAACGTGGACTTTCTGTGACAACAAATTACTTGGAGGTTTTCAGTTGGCCATTGAAGACCCACCCAAACCTAAAATATGCTGGTTTTCAAAGGTGAGGGCTCTGGAAAGTACATCTAATTCTGGAAGAGGTAGGGCAATCTTTTTTTTTGATACTAAAAGACCACTTCCCAGGGCCAGCTTTGCACCCTGGGCAGGTTGGATCTGAGCAGCCCATTCCAGCTGGGCTTCAGCACCTCTGCTTACAAACCATCACAGCACCCTTCCCAACCACATCCCTAAACACCAAGTCCTCTTGATGTCACATGGCAAGACACACAAAAAAAAAAATGAGGAAAGGCTCATTAAGGTACAGAATGTTACACTCACTTCAGTGCTTTCAAGCAGAGAGCAGGAAAAATAATCCAATTAAAAATTTAAATTAATACTGAAAGTGTGAGAAAACATGAAACTAATGTAAATTAAGCTCTACTTACAATAAAAACTATGTCAAAGGGCATACTACCACTGGTATAACTGTTAAAATTTTAAATGATGCAATTAATTTAATCGGTATTGTTAAAATATGTGTGATTTAAATAAGCCTTAAATTTAACATCATTATTCTATAGCCTCCCACTGCTGGAAGCCCAGAAAAAGTCAGTACTATAAAACTACATCACAATTTTTTTTATTTATAATTTTATTATACACTCCTGCAACTTAATATTCATCTATTACATCTGCATCATTAATTTTCAGCCATTCACTCACTGCCCTGCAACACTGTCATGGGGAAAAAATGTCTTCCACATACCAAAGGCAGCTTTGTTTATCCTTGATTTATGGATGCCTCATTTGCAAGAAACCTTGTTTTCCTCCTGATTCACCACCACTCATAATTAAAAATGCTTAAGCAGTTGCATCATGTGAGAAAGGAATGTAAGTTAAACTGGCATGATATCCTATAGCAACCACTAATGGGTGTCCAGGCCATGGGATCAGACTGGAGCTGTTATAACAACCCTTACTTTTACTAAGCAAACTATTTAGAGAAGCCTCCAATGTAACATTATTTTAAACATAATAAAACAGCTCTTTAAACAGGATGTGCACAAGCACTTACGAGCTTTCTGAACACAAATGTTTAAAAATTCTTCATATCCAGCTGTTGGACAACCTGAGTATCTGGTGCTGAAATACACCTAGAATTTCAAGACTGACAAATTTAAGCAATAGTTGTCACATTTTACTTGAACATTTCTTGATATCAATATGCTCAAGTTATCCAATACTGATAGTTTCTCATTCTGCATTACTCAGAATACAGTACATACATTAAAGGTAAAAACACAGCCTGTCCTGAAGAGTTTTCAGCCTACAAACAGATGGAGACTGAGACTGAATGTCTTATTACTTGCCTCAACACTAATTAGCAGGCATCTTCAAATTTACAATATTCTGCTACAATATTTTCAGATATTTTGGGCGTCAAAGCCTTCAGTGGCAGGATGTCAGGTATTTTACATTCTGTTCTGTACTTTCCAGGAACTACAAAATCATAACATTATCCTGGCTGTGTAAGTTGGTGTCAATAAAAGAGTTATCTGTGATTACCTGCAGGAGCTTTACCTGCAGGAACACCCAGCACTGGGCCAGGATCCTGAAATACCAGCTTATCAATAGAATAAGCAAAGGAGTTGCAGATATTTTGTTCTTATGAATACACAGGTCTCTCAAAACTGCCTGTCAGGCTGCTTTTAGAAACAGAAAGATGAAGACAAATTGTACTTTTTGCCACTGCAAAGCAAACCCCATGACCTTGCTCATCCAGTAATCTGGATGGATTTCTTCAATGCAAGAACATTTTCCAGGCAAGTGCAAAACCTGGGCCTGGAAGAGACGAGTTGCATAAGGAATGGGAGGCAGGGTTTTCATTATGTGCTCTGGAAGTCCTGAGCTTTTCAAAGTAACTTCATTAGAAAAAATATTATAACACTTAACTCCATCGGAAAATGGTTTAAAGGAAACCTGACACCACAAGATACATGGTTGAATGCAAAATACCCTTTTCAATTAATGCTCAGTCATCAAAACCCATTTCTGCATTAGCTCTTAATAACAACATTTAGCAGGTTTATCTCTCAAGCCTGCTGAAGTTTTAATTGGAAATTATTTTGGAGGCTGTGTAACATACTACTCAATTTGCAGGCTCCAAGCTCAAGATCTCTGTACTAATTACTTTATACTCTGCACACAGTGACACTTTGAGGAAGCCAGTGGCTCACTTACCACTTTCTCTGAAGCTTTCCAGCTATTTCAGGCCATGGGATTAGACAGCCTTAGTAAAACTGTATTTTAGTTATGAACAAATCATACACGACCCTTTGCTTCCAATTTCATTTCTCTTGGACTTTTTTTTAGTTTAGCCAGTAAAAAATTTTCTGTGGCACAATCAGCATCCCCTGCAGTCCATAAAACCCCTAAAGGGCAGCTTTTGTAAGGAACTATGAACAGAGCAAAAGGAAGTTACTGGTCGGGTTGGAAATAACAGACAAGATTATTTGGTCATATAGTTGTTGTGACAGGTCTGAACACAGTCTTTCTTCATTCTTTTGGTTTTCTTAGAAGACTGTTCCATGTCAAGAAAGATGTATTCCTAGTTTGCTACACCTTCCCAGCCCTTACTCCAGGTCAGCACCTCCAGCACAAGGAGCTGCACTTTGGGAGACCAGGACACTCAGCCTCTCACCAGTGCCCTGCCTCTTCTCAGCCACATTCCCTTCTCCCTCAGAGTATTTTCATCCCAGCACCAGCACTGCCAGAAGAATTTCAATACTAACAACTCCCTCTGAATTAATTAGTTTTACAAATACATTTATTGGTAGCATTCCCAAGTTGTTGGTTCACTTACTGGCTGTCAGGCAACGCTACAAGTTACAGCCACCACTTAACAGAAACACCCAGGGAAAACATCACCTCATCCAGAGCCACAAATGCACTGAATAACCACTGCTTTGATCCTGTGCTGAATATAAAATCTATCAGTCTTGATAAGCACAGGGATGGAAGCCTCAAGCTGTCTTCATGAGAGCAGAAAAATAATCCACAACAGTTAGCTGAGAAGAGCTTTCCAGTGTGAAGCAAACAGAGAATATCATCCTGAGACCTCTGCAATTTTTAAATTTCTTACTCTGTGACTGTAAATCACAACCTTATGGGCAACTGCCAGTTTGTCAGATATTAAGTTTACTGTATGACAGCAGTGGACTGGCACACCTGGGTTTAGACCTTGGGAGCTGAGGGAGGAAAAGCACTATCCACACTACAGTCATCGGGACTGGGATTGACACAGAACAGATTCAAACACTATTAACAGTCACAGCAAGTTTCAAAATACAGCAAAATATTGTTATTTGCAAATATTAGCACAAAACAAACTAAAACAATTTCAACCCAAGCCGCTGTTTACAATGATAAACTGGGAGTTCCTCTTTCAGTATGACAATTTTCTTGATCTAAGCATTTGTGTCTTCTCCTTTTATTAAAGAAAAGAAAGAGAACTGGCTTATTGAGTCACTGATGCATCTCCAGCACTTGTGAACAGATACCACAACACAGCCATGAGGTCACTTGGAATAAAGGAAGTGTTTAGGGAGTGTCCTACTCGCTACATGAGTAGGATAATGATTCCAATTTTCTCCACTTGTGAGATTTTGGAAGGGTTTAGAAAAGAGAGTATTTGTTTTTAGTAAGACTACATCTTGAATGTTTCAAGAGTTTGTGTTTTTCCCTTGGAGGTTCAATTCTCCCAGCTGTAGGAGGCTGTCAGCCACATAATTGGCTTCAGAAGTTCCTCCAGGCCCTTGATATATCTCCTATGGCTAATCTTGCTGTGAGTAATCTCCTTCAAATATCCTGTTCACATGAATTATCTTCATTAACAAGCAAGGTTAACACAAAACCTCTTTGACTTGCTGACACGGTTTTCCTTCCATGAATCCATCAATCCTGGTTTTTTATTCCAGCCACCTCTTTCTCGTTAGAGGCAAATTCTTGTCCTCCCATGCCCAATCTATTGACAATCCATTCTCCAGGCAACAGGGCAATCAAGGTTATCCCATCTTTGTACCTGGTGTTACTGACTGATCTGCTTCTTACCTTAAAAACCTTACAGGGCTTTTCTCATCATGAGCATCAGTGTCAGCACATTGAATAGATTTACTGTACCTGGGTGCAAGATTTACTCCTCCACTTTTTAAACCAACTTCTGAACTACAACTTGAATACAAATTCATCCAAGGCAATGAAAAAGCCCTTCTCAAGCACAGAGAGCCCAGAGTTCTTCAAACACAAAGTGTTTGTCAAATGTTCCAGAGGACAAATACGAAGTTGAAATCAGCAACAGGACAAAGAGGAAACTGGGGAGTGAGGGTGTTATGAAGTACACAAACTGAGTTTCAAACCAGAATCCATTTGCTGCCTAGGATCTGCCTCCATCCATCCAGTTCTTCCAGAATGGCAATTATTCAAACCTGGCTCTTAACCTTTTCAGAGCTCCAGGAGGTCTCCAGATTAAAGCCTAAATTCTCACCATTGGTAGTTACCACCTTCCTCCCATTAAGGATTCTATTTTGGTCCTCATTCATTTACCCCCTGGCCATCTCAAAGCCATCACAGTCTCCTGCATCACTCCTGTGCAGAACACACCCATCTCCAACCTCTGTTCACAAGCAGACACATTTATACCATATTTAACAAGTCAAACAGATGAGCTTTATCTGATGCCAGTGTCTGGGCAGCACCAATCCTACTAGAAACCCAAGAGGCTGGAGGGATGTCTCCATTCCCTTCAGCAGTCTCAGAACACTTCAGGTGTGGTTTTCTTTTCATTCCCTACACTTGTCTGCCACTTTCCTACTGTGAAAATTAAAAAGCACAGATAAAGCAGATAAATCCCCCCCAAAATACTCTTCCCTAAAGTTTATTTCACTAGTATCTTACAAGATTATATGCTCATTAGGCAGAGAGAGCATGGCAGCAAGTTATCTTTGTTTCCTGTGACAAGGAATAGCTCTGGAATACCTGAGGCAAGGAGAATTAAGGCAATACTGTGTTTTCTTATAGATATGTATGCAAACCTCCCTTCAGAATGACTCACATGCTCAGGAACTTGGTTGGGGACAAAAAGCATGACATTAAGCATTACTTTAAATGTAATTAAAATGCTGCTAATCACAATTATGAAAGAATACTACTAACTTATCTAAGCCACTGTTTCATAGGAAGTTAGCCTGTAAGTGACTGGTGACTCCCTCAACTACAGATGTGATAGATGAGGTATTCAGACCAGGGAAAGCAGCTGAAGTTTATCCCACTGTACTGAAGAAAAAAACATCATTCAAATGAAATGGAAGTGATCTGAACACCCTGGATATCCAGCAGGAGTGCATTCCCTTCCTTTCCCTGTGATCTCACCACCTACAGGGACAGTACCCCCCAGGAATCACGTAAGCTGCAACCTGCCAGCAGCTCCATCTAACAGAACTCTGTGACCCTTTCACCATCTAGCAGCTATTTTTCCTCATTATCCATAATAAAACTAGTTGTAATCTTGTGAATTAGCTATAACAGATCTATTTTGTCTTTTTTTTAAGGTACAAGAAATCTTAATGATGGCAAGTGACTTATTCTAAGTTTGGCAAAGCAATGATTTTAGAGAGGTTTTATGCAAATATCAGCTTGCAATGTCCTCCCTTCTGGTACTCCTGAACTTATCACAGACTCATCATAGTATGGTTTGGGTTGGAAGAAACCTTAAAGCTCCTCTAGTTCCAATCACCAGCCATGGGCAGGGACACCTCCCACTAGCCCAGGTTGCTCCAAGCCCCGTCCAACCTGGCCTTAAACACTCCCAGGGATGGGGCAGCCACAGATTCTTCTGGACAACTTCACTCCAGGAACTTCAGTCACTCAAAGAGCATTAAGAGTTTAACATCCAGCCTATAGCTAACAGAGAACTCAGCTGAAAAATGGAGTCCTGAACGTTCTTATCAGTACTCACCACGGAATTCAAGCCTATGGAAATGTACTGGAGCTGGAGTTGGCATTAAGGCTGTTAACACGGGCAGCTCGTGCTGAGTCAAGTGAAATACAGAGAAATAAAATTTCTGAGTGATGCACAAGGTCAAGCAGAGTATTATTCTGGGTACTCGGGGTATTACTTGAGCAAGTCCAGCTCAAGTCAAATAATGTGCTCCAGTGAAAGCATTTCCCAACGTTCCCTGTGCCTCAGCCCCGAGGTGCACTCAGACTACTGGCATATGCTCTCCCTAACCAGTGCTGCTGGGCTCTTCTTGCTTCACAGAAAAATCATATATGCCATTAAACACAGCCTCCAGCCAAAGGGCAGAAGCCATGTGATCTGCAGTCGTTGTTTCTGACACAGGAAACTCTAAAAACAGTCACGCAGCAGCAATTATTCTAAGAGCCACTATCAAACTTTAGAAAAACAAAATAATGAAAAAAATATTGTAAAATTGTTAAAAATTTACAGTAACACCAACATATAGAATGCATTTATTAAAAAAAAAAAAACCACACCTTGCCTTATTTTAAATAATAAGAACTTCACATACCTGCAAGGTGGTAAAAACATGGAATCCTTCATGAGCACAGATCCAGAAAGTAGGATATACCAGCATCTTGCAATAGTTTCTGAGCTGTAAGAAAAGAAATCATTGATATCTACTTTCTTCTCACAACACCTCAGAAATATATTATCCAAAATATCACTGTAGTAAAATACTGATTTACCACTGTAGCAGTTTGATATGTAAGAACCTGAGCACTTGAACTGGATGCTACCAAGATGTTTTTTTAAAACATCTACATCCAGAATGTTTCTTGTACTTTACAATTTGACATGTAAGTCAGCTTAAAATTTTATTTTATTAAAATGGAGTTATTAATTTTCAATGAAAACATTTTATTCCAGTGAAAGTATACATAAAGCTAGAAATACAGGACAGCCCACAATTCCTAAACACACATACAGACTTGGCACCAGAGCGGGTGTGTGTCACACAGAGCCACCACCTCAACTAGCAGGTGGTGTCTCATTTAGACTCGGGTGTGCTGGAAGCTGTGCCTTATACAGAAAGCTAGGATAAGCTGTGAGAGGGTAAATATACCATGAACAATGCTAAAATACGAAGAAAACAAAAGTATATTTGCCTCCCAGCAGGAACCCAAAGAGAACTCTGAGCTCAAATCCTAATTCTTGCAACTTAAAGAGGTGTTGTTGGAGCTCCATCCCTCTCCCGTGCAGGATGCAGGCAGTGCCAGCTCCAGGGACACAGTGCCACCTACTGAGTGTCACCACGGCTCCCACCAGCCTTGGGGGGGACCCTGCCCGTGCCTTCCTGGTGCCACAGTCACACACAGACACCTCATGGGCACCCCTCAGATGCCAACACTGCTCCTACAAACACCTCCTGCCAAAGCTTTTAACCAAGCTGAAATGCTGTAAAGGCTTTTATTAGCAATGGCTGAAAAAGCAAATCATGTATTAAACATGCAAAACAGTGCTTTTGCTCACACTTCTACTGAAGAACTCCAACAAGTGCTGTGTACTCACCAAAAGAGGACTTGGTTGCCCTTGTACCTCTCATAGCGGGCACTCGATGACATTATTCTGAGGGAGGAGGAAGAGAAGTTTAATTTCAATTTTACTCCCCAAAGATCATGAGCCATTAATCACCATATTTCAGTAGAACCACTTTAAAGCTCTAAGACCTCGAATTCAACCATTTTTTTTGTCCTAAAGAAAAGATGTGCTTAACCAGAAAATTCAAATTATTATGGTGTTCTTCATTATCCAAACAGATAATATACAGCATGTTCTCTAAGTGTTTAAATCACTCCCACACACTGGAATTACCCATAGCAACAGAGCTGAAGGAACTAAAATACTTCCAACGCACTTTCTATGCTTTGTTGGCCTTCCATTTTATGGATTCTGAGATCATCCGAATGTCTGAAGCATTAAAAAGCTTTTGTAATCAGGAGTTAAGAGAGGGCACTGTCTGCACAGTCCTTTGTAGGCAAATGGCAGTAAGCTCTGCCTTCCTTCTTAGAAAGGCTAATTAGTTTGGATTCCATGCCATGTTACTGCAGTGACTGCGCTCAGCAATGGGCTTGGCCAATGCTCTGCCACCTCCCAGTGCAGGCAGACAAAAGCTCTGCTCATCTCCACAAAAATAAAGTCAGAGATACACAATGCTAAACAACTCTAGCTGTGGAGTACTCACCTCAGCTGATGCTCCCTGAAATGCGAGAGTATGTCTAGTCCATGAAGGAAAGAATAGATAGTGTTTAAGTCCTAAAGAGAGAGAAAAAAAGAATAAACGTGACCAACTTCATTCACAGCATCTAATCACTCAGCATTACTTTCAGGTTCTGCAGTAAGTTACACAGACCTATGAGACATAATTCTAGAGACAGGTCAGGGAACACACCGACTTGAAGAACCCTGTCCACACTCAAGCTGTGAAAGTGAAAAGAGTGAAATCCAACTGATGCATAAACACTCACCTGAAAAAAAAAAGATTTATTAAAAATATCTCTGAAAATATTTACATGACTGGAAACAGCAGCAAACAACACGTGGAATAAGACAAAAGGGGCAGTCCTGTTCATCCAAGGACAAAAACTGTTGAAACCTTCTAACATCTTTTTAAAGAGGGAATTTTGCAAAATTAATTTCCTAGTGGCAAAGAACCCCAGCAAAAACCTAAACCATGCAGTGTAGCCACCACGTACAGTGCAGAGAACCACGGTACCTTTTCATAGCAAAAGGGTTATGTTGAGAGAGGAAACACTTTCATGTCCACCTCAGACCTAGCTGGTAGCCCTACTACAAACCTCCTCCATCCTACTGCCTCTTACTCAGCCCAATCCCTGTCCAAAGGGCAACATCATAAATTACTCCAAAATACTCTTTAGCAAAAAAGAAGACAATGAAGTTTTAGAGGTCTCCCACCTCCTGCCACCACGACTGAGCATCACATCAGTGCCAACCACCACCAACCACAGAAACAAAAATATTAAAACACGAACATTATTTCACTTTAAAAACAGGGCTTTACATAGAAGCTGCAATTAGAAGATACAGCTGTTTAAACTTCTCACTAGACAGAATCGTCCTCAGTCACAGAAATATCTGTGCTGATGGTGCAGACCACATGCTGGGGAACAGCTCACTGGGGCCATTCATCACCGAATTTACTGTCCTGAACAGGTGGGCTGGGAGCGTCCAACACACGCACAACACAATCATTATGCACCACAGGGCAGCCTCTCCAGCCTGGCCTTGGAAAGTATGTTCTGAATTTTCAAGTGCTGCATTTATCCAGTGTTTACAAAAGATAAATCAATATGAACGCTGGTCTCAGAATTTACAATGGATTTACTTCAGAAAAGTTCTTTGGCTTAATAGTCCTTGTTTAGCAATATAACGGATATGGACTGTTATACCAAACGAAAGGTCAGACGTAATTGCAGGCCCTGTAAAACCAATAAAACTCTGATTTATTTTTTTAAATGTCATTACCAAACCCCATGAAAATTAAACAGAAGGCCTGAATGTGTAACACATTTATAAAGCACTCATTTCTCACACAGTCCAATCTCATTCTAATCCTCCGACTGTGAGTTGCCACAAACTTGATTTTATTAGTGAAATCTGGGAACACCAGCTATGAATCAGACTCCAAACACACCACAGCTTGTCAGAGGTGGGCACTTGGCAGCCAAAGGGTCATTTCAGGTGTCCCACCAGCTCCATTACTGAGCTTTCCCTGTTTCCGAGCAGGGAACTGCCTCACCCTCCCCACCTGAAAGCATCAGGCACAGGAATGCAGCAACTGTATCCTCAGACCATACACTGCCTTAGTAGTTAATAAAACTTAGGAGTTATAGACTCTATGGAAGAACTGAAATAAAACCCCTGTGTCCCACATTCTTCCTCCTCCACCTGGAGGTCCCCCTCTCCCAGACCAGAAGAAGGATACTCACAACTCCTGTTGAAGTTGGGCAGTCAGGAAGGAATCAGTATTTGGTATTAAAATTAAAGTTGAATTTTTCAGTCTTCATAACTCATTATGCCTATATAAGTTTTCCAATATTTTTTTTACATAACAGAGATTAGGATGTAACAGAAGGTCTTTAAAATATATTTTAGATAAGCAGTTCTGTAGTCATGAGTCACAGAAAACTGTAAGCAGAACAAAAGTTTATATTCATGTCTAATCACAAAGTTTTTAAATTGTACATATGAAAAATGACCACATCCTGACTTTAGAATTATTCTCTGGAACTCCCTAAAACACAGTGCCAGCACTGGGCATGGGCACTCCACCTGCAGACACAGGAGGGCTGTGCTGACCCACTGAGGAGCTTGATGAATAAACAGTTGGTAAATGAAACAGATAAACATTTGCTTAAAGGGATTCATGTCTGGAAAGCATCCCACGGCTCTGACTTTGGCTGTCGAGACGAGCAGCAGCAGAGAGAGCAGCTGAGCCAGAGCACAGCAAAGGGGAGGCAAAGGTTCCTATTCCCTCAGCCAGCAGAAGGCATTTAACTCACACTATCGGCTGTTACTGCTCTAACCTTGATAAATGTAATAAACCCCATCCTGCTCACTGCCCAGCCAGGGGACACGTCAACAAGCCAAACACACTGGCTACTCATGCAGCAGTTTCTGTAAGTGTTTTTAAACCAGGATCTGTAACACTTTCCCTAAAAATAACTGACTCTTCAAGCGAGCTCCTCTCCTAGTTGTGCAGAGCAGGTGATTTTGGGTGCCCCTGAGCACAAGAGCTAACTCAGTGATCCCCTGGGAAGGGCTGCAAAATGCCTCTTTACACCAGAGCATCAAACATACTCATCCAAAATATTTTACATGTCTCGGTGAAGTAATTTGCTTGTTTAAATAGATACAGCCAGGTAGAATTCCTCCTCTCCCTCACAAGCCACTTCAAAGTCCGACAAGGGAGGGTACAGTACATATGGTGTATATATATCCCAGTTTTTCCCAATAAAATGAAAATTTCCTATCAGTTATACTATGTGAAGTTTTCTCCATTACTCCCTCAGACCAAGTGCTTATAGTAGCACTGAAATTATGTTTGACATGCTACATTTAGAGTCTCATTCTGCATTTTTGCCAGCGAGGAACATCAATTAATAGGAGGTTGGCTGGTGATGGGCAGGGGCTGTGGCCACCTCGTGGACAGAGGCTGCACCACGCTCCCAGAAACCCTCCTCCACCAGAGCTGCAAACATTCATTTCTCTAACTCGAGGTTTGTAACAGCTTCTAATCCTATTTTCAGTCTCAGTTTTAAAAAGGGATTTCTGTCACCGCAGCAGTTATAAACAGCAGACAAGCACATAACCACAGTACAAAGGGCAGAGATCAGTTTCACAGATATGTTTGGATACCCACTACGAAAAATGCTATTAAAGGACGATGCCAAAGGGCAACAATCAGCGTCACAACAGCAGAACTCAAAGCACTTGCTGGAATTTTATAGCCCCTTTCCATATCCTTCCTTATAATCTCTTTACTTCCATCAAAACCCAACCGAAATGTGCTTATTGATGAAAAGCAATTTCTCCACATGCTCTAAACTAAAGACCAAGGTCAGTATGATTTTATTTTGTAATCTTTCTTTTCAGAGCTTTTCATCACCTGAAACAATACCTGAAAGTAAAGCACAAGATCTACCTGCAAATGCTGTGCCCACACAGATTCTTCAATCTTTGACAGAAAACTACCTTGACTCAGTTATTTACGGAGAAATTCGCATTTTCTATCCAAATAGCTAAAACTGCAGCTACAGAGACTCAAGGGAAAGTAGGGAACTGTGCAAAGAGTAGAGGGAACGGGGCAGTTGTTAATCTTGCTCAAAGGGAGATTTTCTAACTACAGAGTGGAAACAAGAACACTGTGACCACAGTGATTCTGTGCCGAGCTGCCCGGGACGGCTGATTGCCTTTGCCTCCAGTTCTCACAGCACAGAGTTCATGAGCAGACACATTTAAAAAGCAGAGGACATCTGAGTCTTCAAACTCCTCCTGTGACAGAACACACTGTATTAGCCAGCCTGTTTCAGCAGCAGTGCAGAAACCAAGGGATGGCTCTGGGACAGCACCGTTATCTCCAAACGCGGCACGAGGGAAGTGTGGCCACCAGCAGCCTCAGCACCAGCTTTTATCATCCCCAACACACACATCCTTCTGGCAAAAAGCTTAACCAGCTGCTAAACCAAAGGTGGTGTAAAAACACAGAGATTTTAGTAACGACATCATGTTATCTAAATATATATTATTTTATGATAACATACTCATCCCAATACAGTTCACAGTGAGCCACCTGAACACCCAGACCACTTCTCATTTTCCCTGCCAGATGCTAACTCATAGCAGTACCATAAAATGGGAAAATAAAAGAGGCATCAACTCATCACACAAAAGCAAACCAGCTAACTACCACCATCACCCATTTATCCCAAAACACTTAATTTGCTACTATTTTTTACAAGGGTAGTGAAATACTAATTTCTTAGTTGTTAAGACGTAGCTTTTTAAAATAATGAAATAAGCACAGTCAGCTAAAAAAGTCATCACGAGAATATAATCCAGCCTCAAAGCTGCTGGGGAAGTGGTGGTCATCCTTAGTTTCTTTATCAGCAGCTTTTTAAAGTATGACCAAGATCTGGACAGATCTGGACAGGACCAAGATGCTCCTGAACAAGCACCACAGTGCAGAAACACAAGTGATGAGCAAAATTTGTGAGTCTGTATCATTTCCTTATGCTTCACCCTCTTCTCTCCCAATCCCTCACCTTTAATCCAAGAGGCAGCTTTACAAAGCTCAGAATTAAGACTGTGATGGAACAATGGTGGTCGTGAACATGGAGTTCTGACCACAAAGTTTTCCAACCAACAATAGCTCCTGCCAGCACAACGGTAATTCACATGAGCTGCATCCATAAAGCTGTAAGTCCACAATAAGGTCCAAGACAAATTCCCCTGCAGTGTTAAAAGTGGGCAAAAAGCAGTGTGATGCTCTGGAAAAAAGACAGAATGACTGCATCACAAATAGCTTTGCCCTCGATAAACACAAACCAAAAAACTAATGCTTTACTTGATATGACCCCAGCCAGGTGTTCCAGCAACACATGATTATGTTAAAACACTAAACAGGAAATCTGGTCTATTTCTAAGGAAAATAAATGGTTCTGAAATGACCTCATAGTAGCACATTCTGATAAATCCCACAGAGGCAACCTCAGCAATTGCACTGAGGTATCGGG